TTAGTGAAAAATTTGACTCTTTTGAATCAGTATGACGGATATTCAGCGATATCGAAATGGTATGGCATGATCATAATCAGCTATACATTTTTTTCTATCATTGGATAAAAAATAGCTTTGAACTCGTAATCGAAGTGGTCAAAAAATGACACGTTGAATTTAGTATAGTGAAAAGTTCGAGTCGCCTCTTCGGTATGGCATACAACTCCTTCACACTTTATCTAATAAACAATGTAGAAAAAGAATTAGCTGAGTTCTCACTCACCAAGAGCGTTGTTTTTTCGACCTATTTAAAATCTTGCGAAGAGCAACGCCGACACCTACAGGCGGCCATACTTTCGTTTCCTTGTTCCTCATTACACTGGCTAACTTCTCACGAAGTTTTAGCTTTGGTTTGGTCCTACGTGGCTTTTCCTGCTGGCTCCCCGTCTAAGACAATCATTAAAATTCAAACAAAATTTCAAAGAAAATCTAATTACAAATATTAAGAAAACATTCCTCAGCATTAAGAAAATAATAGCATAAGAAAGAACCATTTTGTTAACGTTATGTGTGCCTAAGTGCTACACAATAACTAATAAGTTACATTTATGTTAAAATTGTTTGTTTTACTTAGTGCTATTACAAAAAACCCGACTGCCCCTTTTACGACTGTTTAAGCCAGAAGGCAGCAATTTGCTGTATACCCAATTAAAAAAATTAATTCCCACCTCCTAAGGGGGTACTATGAAGGGGAAATACACCGAAATGCAAAGAAAGCCGGTACAGCCATGCGTATTGAAATAAAGAGATCAGGAACCAATCAGAATACGGCGCTCCGGTCGGTAACGTTTGTATCAGACAACCAGAGTGGCATTGATGTTAGATCAGTTAGTACTGCTACAACGGCAGGTTATCACGATTTAAGTGAGTTTGGACGTGGTGTTATAATTCGTGCAAGAGAGATGTGGCATAGCATCTCCGAGGTCGCGATATGACATTTGGATTTACCCTTACGACCATTTCACGAGTGTACCGTGAATATCGGGAATCCGGTAGAACATCAAACCTCCAGCTTCGCTACGGCCGCAAAAAGATCGAGCACTAACGGGAGCTACGACGACTGAAGAGAATCATTACACGTGACAGAAGTGCAAATCTTCCGCCAATCGCTGCAGATTTCAATGCTGGGCCATCAACAAGTGTCAGCGTGCGAACCATTCAATTAGACATCGATATGCGGTGTCGGAGCCAAAGACCTACTGGTGTACTCTTGATTACTGCACGACACCAAGCTATACGCCTCGCATGGACACTTCAACATCGACATTTGTTTGTTGATGACTGGAAACATGTTGCCTGGTATGACGAGTATCGTTTCAGTTGGTTTAGAGTAGATGGACGTGAATGAGTATGACGACCTCATGAATCCATGGACCTTGCATGTCAACAGGGGACAAGCTGGTGGAGGCTCTGTGATGGTATGGGACTTGCAATTGGAGTGATATGCGACCCCTGATACTTCTAGATACGGCTCTGACAGATTCCACGTACGTCTGATCACCTGCACATATGATGTCTTATCACCTGCACCCATTCATGTTCAATGTGCATCCCGATGTACTTGGGCAATTTCAGCAGGACAATGCGACAGCTCATACGTCCAGAATTGCTACAGTGGCTCCAGGCAAATCCATGCCACGTCGTGTTGCGGCACTTGTGCGTGCTCGCGGGGGCCCTACACGGATATTAGCTGTAGCAGTTTTCTTGCTCTTCAGTGTAATAATAATACTAATAATAGTTATTAATAATTATTATAATAAATAATTAAATTGTGTTACCACACCTTCGCGTTTCACACGAATCACAAATAGTTTTCTTTAATGCTATAATTTACTTATATTTTATGCTTTCTATAATCTCATGGCTTGATTGAGAATGGGTGTGTGCAATTTGGGTGCCTATTCGAACTCATCCCCAAAGAAATAAAAAATGTGCGCAAGTCTGAAGAGCCACGTACCAACACTGGCATGTAAATTGAGAAGCGACATGAGCCTAGGGCAGTCCTACGCAGCATTTTGCAGTTCCTCTCACCTCGTTGGCCGCGCCCGAGCCACTCATGTGCAAATGCGGAGAAATTGAAGGGTGGTGATGGGGAAATTCTAGAAATTGGAACTACCAATTAGAATGCGCAATTCGATCCATAGCGCGTAAATGAAAGAGCAATCGACGAGAATATGACGTTCACAAACAGTTCAAGCCTTTCTGTATTATATTGGAAAGGTTTGTTGCCTGTGTATGGCAATGCCAAATTCAAACTACATCGAATTATACATATTTGATTTTTTTACCAAATATTATAACTGTTTGTAGGGCTGATACTGTAATTCGTTTTGTTGCGAATTCATCACAAATATAGTGTTTTGTGGAACATAAAATTATGATACTGAGATGTTTTTGTGTGATGATGGTAGCAATAAAATATTTCTTCATTAATTATGTTATTTAATTAAATAAGACGATTCTATCAAAGCTAAAACACTGTTAAAACCATGTTTATTTTCTGCTTTAATTTCTAACAAGATTATATTACATATTTCTAATATAAAATCAACGAACACAATATATTAAATCATTTTCGAAATTGTACAAAATGTTAAGCCCTCTGCGTTCTATTTAACAAGACCCATGTGTAGCGGTACAGAATTATTAAGATAAATTAAATTGAGTAAAGCAGACCTAAGAAATTTTTACTGAAGAAAAACATCCGGTCGTCACGCCGCAGCCCCCCTTCTTGCAACAGCCACGTCCCCTGAACCCATTTCGAGATGTTATATGACACCCCACCCAACAGCCGAAGAACAGGCGATAAATTGTAAAAAGCCCCTATCTCGAAGGCACCCACACATCGATGACTCATTCGTACAACCCTGTCATGTCGCTATCTATATATCTCTCTACATAGCAATAATATTCTAGTTAGCAGCCCCTTTCTGAGACGTGGCCCCTACTTTCGAAACAGAATTCGGAAAACTTTTCCTATTCTCCGCCGGAGCCTTGTTGCCAATTTAGTGAGTGTACAACCGCCATACCTTGTAGCCAATAGCACGCGACCTGTGTAGGAGCAAGAACATATGAGGAGAAAGAGGTGGGGATTAGAAGTTAAGACTTCGTGCGTTATGAGAAACAAAATTTAACAGTGAGGAGAGAAGACTTCTCGGGCGGGAGCCAGTCGCCAGGAGAAGCGAGTGCGCCTCCAAGGCACTTGTTAAAAATACAGTTCGTAGAGAGACTTCTCTGAGGTGGGGAGCCAAGCTCGGGGAGAGTCGAGTACACCTCTGAAGGCACTTGGTTAAAATTTCAGTTTAGTTGAAATCACTGGGGGTGATAGACCGAATCTCAGTGCAGAATTTTAGAGAAGTGCAAAAGCACGTTCAAAAGTAAATTGTCGAATCCTTTGTCACTGCGTATTCCTGCAGGATTTCGCAATTACTGAAATTTTTATTCGAGAGGAAATCGCATCGCGAGATGAACATTGTTGTGTGCTTCGCCTCCTGCGATTCCGCCATTATCCACAAATTTCGCGAAGAAGCCTCCAGACGACCCTCTGCTGACTCACGGACTGCCGCAGACGCGCGACGCCGCTGCCACCCTGCATGTTGAGGGGGGCGCGACCGGATTGCATTCCAGCGGAAGGTCGCCTAGAAGCTCGTCCCCGCTCCCCTAGGCCCCTCGAGCACATCTTGTACCACGAAGGGCTCTCAGGCATTGTAACTGGGGGCATAAACCTTTTGAACTATTGTTCAAGCAGTGCCGCGCCAAAGCACAAGAATCCGTACAACAACTCAGAAATCTAACTATTAAAATAATTTTGTACTCTTCTTCTTGTTGTTAAGCTTTCCTTTTAATTTTACATCTTTATTTTTTCTTTTTATTCAATCTTTTCTTTCTTTTATTTTTTAATGTAACTTCCCTGGTACAGTTCCGTCCAGGAATAAACGTTGTTTTTTACCAGTAATCAAATTGTTTATTTCGAATGCCCATGTATGCTTTAGCTTACAATGCCTTCCATCACTGAATCTTAAGTTAAGGAAATTGTTGCAATTGGCTAGTTTTTACGCGAGTAAAGGGAATAGGACCGACTGAGCTATAATCGGGCCGCTAACCGCGCGTTTCCCTTCGCCGGGAGGTGTTACATATGATAATTTCATGATTGCCCGTAACATAACATCAGTGAGTTTTGTTCGTTGATATCTTTAATTCATATTTGTAGTGGGGGAAATGGTCACAAATAATGCTGCTAAATATTACCCTTTTTGCAATTGCCTTTATTCGATTTATAAGTCTTGATGTGAGAGATTGCTCTTATATTTTTCATTTTGCTATCAATTGGAGAATATAGCATGCCTAGTGAGCAATGAATTGTTAAATTATATTTTTTCTTAGAATTGTTTAATGAAGTTTTAAAAAATGCCACTGCTTATTGCTAAAGGGTCACCATGACCATCAACTAAAAAATTACTTACAGTGGTGAATACGCAGCAGTGCACAGAAGAAAATAAACGGTGAATTATGGTCTTTGTAGCTTAATATACGGGACATCACCCATTTAAATAAGTGACAAAATTATTTCACTGCGTTAGACGTCGAGGCATTCAATCTACGCGTCGCGTCGTGCAACGTCAGGCTTCTCCCCTCCTCGCAAAGTTTCCCACCCGCACTTCCTGCACTTTCGGCGCTCTCGCGGGCAGCCCGTCTGCTCGTAAGCGCAGAGTGCCCGCGTGAGCAGGCGTTGTGCACGCCTGGCCTACGGGCTACCGGGGCGCGAGCGCTCTTCACGGGGAAATGCCCCTGGGAGTGGTATATGTGCCAATCAGATTTTGGTAATACTAATCAGCCAGGAAGGAGATGAGGCAATATTGAAAAGAGTAGCCGAGAAAGAATCGGTAACCAACTAGTATTAGAAAATCTGTGACTTTTGCAACCTCACTAATTTTGTATTAATGTGTGTTCTATTATAGAATTTGTGTCACAAGTGCCAAGGGAAACTCCTGAATCAGTGGAACAACCTGCCCGGATTGCATTTCTGCTTACTTTAAATGGCCGGGCGTTACGACAAGTGCAGCGTTTAATCAAAGCTCTCTTTCATGTGGATCACTATTTTTATATTCATGTGGATGCGGTAAGTACAAATGTGTCTGATGTTGCTTCTGATTTATTGTTAGCGCATTTTAATTTTGGGAACGTTTGCTCTTGTTTTCATAGACGTTTATGTGTTAAAAATATTGAAGCAGTTTCTGTAACACATGTTTTTGAGAAGAGATTTTCGCATGACTAAGGATCGCATACTATACTTCGCGATACTAAGGATCGCATGTACTGATTGTACTGTGGAGCAATTATGAATAACTGTTTTGTAAACGTTTGCATGTTTTGTTTATATAAACTATTTTGTATTCTACTCATGTGTTCTTTGCTTGTGTATATCTTAACTGTTGTGTCAAAAGGATCCCGAAACGTTAAAATATACTTTTGTAAAATAAATTAGTATTACCAAAATCTATATAGGAGGGCGTTCTATGTTTGTGTACTAGTATGTGTATCGATTGTAGTTTGTACGTATGGTGCACATTTCACTATTAAAGGTGGTGACGTGTAACTAGTGTCATATTCCACCGTATAGTAGCAGCACTCGCACAGGAGCCTACGAATGCATTCGTAGCCACTTCATAAGAGCACTGTCGGTTTAGGAGTAGACAACACGAAAAGCAACCGGACAGCGCTGTACAAGTTGGTTCCTATGGACAGAAGGCGTGACCACTACAGACATTCATCAGCGCTTGGTGGCAGTCTGTGGGGAACATGTGCAGTCGCGGAAGACATTTTATTACTGGGTGGAAGGGACATGGGTGGACAAGGGAACCAGGTGCGGAAGGAATGTGAGTTCTGGAAGAACTGGGCACAGCTGTCAACGCATGGGTACGCGCTACTCGAAGAATGAATTCAGGCTGTTCTAGAGAGGCAAAAGCGCATACAGTTACAAGGAGATTATGATACGAAGATGGACGTAACAACTGAGGTTTAGTGTACTTCATTTGTTAGATAAAATAAAGTGTAAAACAATATAGTATACTCTTCGTAGTATTACTTAAATAATATATTATGTATGAACGGAAATGTTTAGTATTTTTAGATAGTCTGATTAAGCTGATATGGCTAACTGTTTTGTGTAAGTTTGTATGTTTTTTTTATCCTAACGTTTATATTCTATATTGTACTGTGTACTTAACACAGAAATTTGAAATTGATGACCTTTTTAGACAAATGAAATTAAATTGAAAAATTGAATACAATTTTCGCATTCCAAGATTCAGTACAATTATTTTCACTTCTATAAGAAATGAATGCCATGCGCGCCTGTAAAAATAATGTCAAATACACTGAAGATCAAAAAAAACTGGTGCATCTGCCTAATGTCGTGTAGAGCTCCGAGTACGCAGGGGTGCCTCAATACGACGTGGTATGGACTCTTCTAATGTCTGAAGTAGTGCTGGAGGTAATTGACACATGAATCTTGTGGGGCTGTCCATAAACTCGTGAGGGAATTGCGATCTCTTCTGAACAGCACGCTGAAAGGCATCCAAAAAGTGTTTAAGTTCAGAAGAGTGTTCCTGGAGCCACTCTATAGTAATTCTGGACGTGTGGAAATATCGCATTGTCCTGTTGGTGTTGCCAAAGTTCGTCGGGATGCACAATGGACGTGAATGTGTGCATTTGATCAAACAGGATGCTTACGTACTTGTCACTTTTCAGAGCCGTATCTAGACGTTTGAGGGGTCACATATCACTCCAATTGCACCATCCATCCATACAATACCATCACAGAGCGTCCACCAGCCTCAACTGTCCTTTGTAGACATGCAGGGTCCATGGATTCATGAGGTTGTCACCATACTCGTACACGTCCATCCAGTCGTTAACAGTCCAGTGTCGGTGTTGCCGGTCCCAGGCGAGGCGTAAAGCTCGGTGTCGTGCACACGAGAGGGCCTTCGTCTCCGAAACCCTTTATCGATAATATCTCGTTGAATGATTCGCACGCTGACACTTGTTGGTGGTCCAGCATTGAATTATGCAGTAATTTGCGGAATGGATGCGCTTCTGTCACGTGTAGTGATTCTCCTCAGTCGCTGTCGCTCCCGTTCGTGCACGATCTTTTTGCCACCGTAGCGATGCCGGATGTTTGATGTTTTACCTGATTCCCGATATTCACCTTACGCTCGTGTAATAGTCGTGCAGGAATCCAAATTTCATCGGAGATGCTATGCACCTCTCTCTTGCGCCAATTATAACACCATGGTCAAACTCATTTAAATCGTGATAAGCTGCCATTGTTTAGTAGCACTTACCGATCTAACAACAATGCCAAACTCTAATTGTCTTATAAAGTCGTTGCCCACCGAAGTTCCCATTGGCTCCATATCTTTTAAGTTCAATACGTATGGCTGTACCAATTTCTTTGGCTCTTCAGTGTATTTCAACGTCTGTAACAACGAATGGAGCGGAAACGAAATTGTTGCGCGACATGTCGTAAATTTTGCTCATTCATTCTTTATTTCGTGGAATATATGTATGTATGTATATGTGTGTGTATGTATGTATGTATGTATATATATATATATATATATATATATATATATATATATATATATATATACTGGGCTAGACCATCTCGAATATATTCTAAATAGTTCAAGATAATATGATGGCTTTTTCACCAAACGATTCACTACTTCGGGTTCTTCAGTACTACTTACTACTACTACTTCAGTACTATCATATATTTGAGTTAAATATATTGGACTATTTTTTTCAATGGAACGCTATACGTTAAGAGACGATTAAGTCTTGAGACGACACATTCTTCAATATTCCGTATACATTTGTATTTGATTGTTATAATCTGAGCCATTGTAGAATAGTTAACATAACAAAGAGAACGTAATCCGGCGTCATAAGAAATGCAGGTACTCGGAATTTCGTGGCTTGGCGACGAGTGGCTCAGCGGACTCCAACCTGCTGGCTCATCAGTGGCGTCCAAATACTAAGTCGAATTCTAGAAACTTTCCGGTGAAGATCTCGAATGTTACAAGCATTCAAGGTTCACATTTCGTCCACAAAAATCAAAGAAGCTAGGAAACCACCGATATTTCTCATTAGCAACATCATTAATAAGGCAGATTAAAACATCTTCGATTTTTAGAAGAGGCATACTTGTATCGTGTTTGCTAGCGTAAGTCTTGCGAAATACGGGCCATAGTATTATTACTGACTTCATTGGGTTCGATCTGGTGTTGCCTGAAAAAGCTCACCCGTTGGTCGTCACTCTGTGGCGATTTAACTGAGGCCCCTGAGCGATCCCTCTTGTCAGGATAGCCCCATCAGCAGTGGCACTCCCACACGTGGATTCGGGACGAGCTTATTTTCTGTGCTGCTTGGGTAGGGGAATGTTGCATGGCTGGCGTGGCATTGAAATGACATCCTGACGCGTGATATGAGCACTCTTATTCACCGCATCAGCGCGTTGCCCTCAAGGTGCACAGATGCAGATGGTTTACGGAGTTCACTCGAAGTTGTCAGTCGGCGTATCTGCGAGTGCCGCCGAAGAAGCAAGTCAATGTCTCCACACAGCTGTGAAGCTCCTTTTTCGTCGCTCAGCACCCTTTTTCATCCAGGCTCCATTCTGTCTCCGCAACCGTCTCCGTCCACATCAAGTGTGGGACACTATTACTTCTGTTCTGTCGCGATTCGTCTCGCGACTCACTCGTCACGCGATGTCGTGAACTTCTGAGTGTATAGATATCCTACTCATCTTGTGTACGAATATCCACGAACACTTGCAGCTTCCCTCTCACGCCACCGCGTCTCACTCCCCGAGAGCTCCTCTCACACATCTGACCTCTTCGTGAATCTTATCCCTTCTCTCACACGACCGGCCCCTTCGCGAGTCTTATCGCTTCTCTCGTTCTCTCTCCGTTGTTCACTTTCACTCGTCTTCCCCTTTAGTCTCGTGTTTCTTATCGTCAATCTAATTGGTTCTTGCCCCGTGTAGTCGGTCAAAATTAGTCATGTGCAAGGTGAATCCCGCAAATTGTCAGTGAACTCTTGAGAATGTCTTTCGTCATTTTACTCCCTTTCTTCCTTGCCGTGCCGTCACGACATCTTCCACGGGGTATCACTTTTACATTCATCAATGTCCTACGCTATCGAAGGAACAGGTATTGGCTAGCAGAGGGATTTCCAAGTCTAAATATTAATGGGAGACACTGAAAAAGCGACATGAAGGCACAGCCAAACATAGATTGTCAATGTTCAAAAGAAAAATCGCGAAAAACGAAAAATTCGAAAACGAGTCAAGTCAAAATTTTCTGATACGAACCAAACGTTTAAATTGTAGGATTACAGAGTTTGGTTGTAAACTAGACGATGTAGAGCTCTTTGACTACATAATTGACGGTTTACCTAAAGAATATAGTGCAGTGACGACAACTCTACATGTAAATCCTGACGTGTATTTCGAAACAGTACGTAAAAGTTTAATAAAATACAAGAGGAACTATTTACAGTACAATGACAGAGCTCTTAGAACTAAAGAAGTAAAAAAAAAATTGTTATGTTTGTGGAAAATTATACCATTTTGCGAAAGATTGCTGGCACAGACAAGATAAACGAAAAAATAAATTATAATCTATTTCATAGTTTATACAGAAAGAAGAGTGTAAGCTCCGTAATTGAAATATAAGTAAACAAAAAACGAAGGAACATTGAAACATTGAACATGCAATGGTCACAAAAGGAGGAAATGATTTTTTTTCCCAAACAAGCAGCAGTTGGTTATCAGATTCGGCACGTATTTCACACATGACTCCCGAACATCATCTTGTACAAGATCATTAATGTAGAAATCACGACGGCAGATTCCGTGCAGGAACTACAATCGCAAAGTATAGGTAACATTGTAGGATTTTGTTTAGCAAGTGATCAAGAAGTTAAGAGTTGGAAAATGGAAAATGTCATATGCGTGCCAAATTTAAATTCAAACCTATCAATACCAAATTTAGTGAGAAGAACAAGAAAGTAATTTTTGATATCAATGGTTACCATATGGTCACAAGGAGTTAATTGCAAAAGGTTCATTCGAAAATGACGATTTTGCTTCAAAAATGGGAATTAACAAAAACGATATTATCAAACAGAGAAGACATTACTAATTGATGCACATTTAGCGAGCAGATTTTGGGCGCAAGCAGCATCAACTGCAACTTACCTTTATAACGCCAAGTAGCAAGAGAAATGGCGTACCTTTCGAAATATGGACAGGTATCAAACCTAACCTTTAGCATTTCCGTATATTCGAATGCAAAAATGATTACAATGCAGTAAATAACTGGAGAAGGAAATTGCACGATCGCGCGAAATTGGAGACCTTTATTGGATATTACAGAAACAAAAGGGCCTACAGAGTGTATGTTCGCGCTGAAGTTAACGAGTCTAGGGACATTGCGTTTTTCGAGAATGAATCGGGTTTCGAAATCTTGAAGAATGAAGAATGTGATTATTTTAAATCTAATAATTTTATTTGTAGGAATGGATGGCTACAAAACGATAAAGATGATATGAGCGAAGGCACCACAAAAGAAGACTATCTCTTAATGTCAAGGATATAAACTTAGCACGAGAAAATGAAACTCAACATCAATCTGTTGTTGCGGAAGAATGTGAAGAGAGGACATCTGAAGACTGAAAGAGAATAAAAGAAGTACTTCCTGAAGCAATAGCGGAGATATTTTCTGATAATGAAGTGAATCACTGTGTCTTTCGATAATTAACGAGAATTATAAAACCTAAAAAGGTATCAAGCTACCTATGATTGCGAAAAAACATCTGCGGCGAGAAATTGCCTCGAAACTACAAAGCGGCTGTTACGTTAAATGAAAGTGAGAAATGGGAAAGTGCCATTTCACATGAATTGGATTGCTTGAACAAATATAATACGCGGAAAATAGTAGATACTTCCCTGAAAGGAGAGCTCAAGATATTAAATAATAAATGGGTAATTAAGAAAAAAACTTGCAAATCGTAAATGCAAATATAAAGCAATGGTAAATGCAAAATATTTATCAAATATAAAGCGCTATGAACGGTGGGTCCGCCTGCGGTTTAGATTACGACTCGGCATGTCCAGTTGTGTGAATTGCTGCAATGAAAAATGCGTCATACGCTTCGTTGATGTTGGGACTGCTTATTCGAACGGGATGTGTTCAGGAAGATACCGAATTGTGTAGATGTTCCAAAAGATAAAATACTGAAGTTACGTAAACGTTGGTATGGTTTACTGGAAGCAGACAGGTGTTGGATTAAGAGACTATGCGATATTTTGAAAGAATGCAGACTTAAACCATCCGACAGTGATCCGTGTGTTTATACAAACCAAAATCCCAAAGAGTTCACTCCCCAGTAGAATCCAAATTTCTACGTACGCGATTGATTGTTGGTCAAAATCATAATCTGATTGATCTAGTTTGCAAACTCCGAAGAAAACTCACTATCACAGAACTGGATGGAATTCACACCGAAAACTTTTTAGGAATCAGTTTAAGAAAATATTCAGACGGGTACACGTTGGACCAAACGAGATACAATAGATAAAATGGATAAAACGAGATAAAGAAAATTCTATGGATTCTAATTATATTGTGCGGAATCATGTCCTCTTCGTTGCCGAGTGCTAGTAACAATAATGTTGTTACGCCGCGACTGGTTCTCCAGATAATCCACCTTGCGTACCAGCCGCTCGTTCGCTGTCTGCAGTTACTGCACTTAAGATTCGTAATCCTAGCTTGTAACGTGTCCATCTTATAAATTATCTCCTTGTGTAATTTATTGATGGTTTCGATGATATCGACGTTAGTAGGGGGCTTGGATTCAGCTTCTGCCACTGGTGAGAGGCCCCACAGTATTAATCGCGCAACTTTCCTTGAACAATGACCTTGCTTCCTCCTCTCTGGCACAATAAGCAGTTGAAGTAAAAGTTCGTTTGTGAGCACTGATGACAACATTCCAAACACATCTTCACTGGCGCGAAATAGAAACTATTTGCTGTTGAAGACGAGAACTTCAGTTCGTGTTTTTTCCAAAATATGTAAATAAATTACCTAAGTAGCTGAAGATCCATCACAGAAGGTACCTCAAACTCCTGAGAAAATTAGAACGAAAATTATTGACGAAGTTACGAAGGCATAACTGATTCTCCTGAGATTGGCATTTCATAAAATACAGTGGCCGATTTCGTAACTAATACCTCCACTCTACCCGCATTTCTTCAAACCATTGTTCAAGGAAAGTTACACGAGTAATAATTACTCTAGCTACAGTAGGATAAAGACCGAAAATTGTAATTCCCCCAGTCTCTCAAAGGCAACCGGTAAGGAGGTAGTCCAGTGCTCTATGCTGACCGCCTGTGGGGCTTTTTAAGTATAGTTGCAGTTAAAGTTACTAAAACTCGTGGTTTAAAAATAGTCCAAAAATCCGATTTAAATCATTGATGAATGATTTTTCTAAATCTTGAGACTTCTCAGAGTTTTGAGAATCTCAGAGGTACGTCTTTCATAATTCGTGTACATAATTCTTTAAAATGACCATAATAAAATAATTTGTTTTATTTTAAGAAAGTTAAAAATTATTGTTGAGAGATTAAATATATTCGTGAAGGCAGTTGTTTTGAAGAAAAGTGGCCCCAGTGGATATTTTGCCCCAGGCCTTTTGTTTTTTGTGGGAGCCCCTACGTATTTGGGATGCGAATGGTCGTAGGAATGTGTTCGTCACAATTCGCAAGCTACCACTCTTCCCCATCGTGGACTCGTATAAAACAACATGGAGTGAGTTCTCCTGCCTTGGATTCCATAACATGACTTTTGGTACACCTGTTTGGAACTTCACAATATATTGAATTATAAAGTTTAGGGATCGTATATACAGATACATAAACGTAATCACTTGTAAGTTGGTTAATATGGAATTATGTGTACATTCTAGTAATTCTGTGTATATTCTAAGTTTTAACAAAGTGTGTAACAATGACGTTCTGGTTAAATCAGGCTTGGTTTTACAAAAATGTAACATAATTATTGTAATATCCCTCCCGCCCACCATTCTTTCACAACAAATATCGATATAATCATATATTATTCCACGGTTGCAGATGTGTCGAAGTCGCATATTTTGTGCTTGTAACATTTTTGTAATATTAGTTGAAAGTGTGGCTCTCTTACCATTCATGTACCAGTGAGGTTGTAATCTATTAATTCTATTATTCTTGTTCTTATATTTTTAGAGACAGGACTACTTATTTCGTGAGTTGTTGCCATTGGAAAATACGCTACCTAATGTTCGCCTTGCCAGACGAAGGTATGCAACAATATGGGGCGGAGCTTCTCTTCTTCAAATGCTACTCGCATCAATTAGCGAACTTTTGAAAATAGACTGGCAGTGGGATTTTATTATAAATTTGAGTGAATCTGATTTTCCTGTAAAGTAAGTATTCATTTCTAATGTTATCAGATAGTGTATTTAATACCTGAAACTTATTTGTGTATTCTTTCTTGCAAGAACAAACCTTCAATTAGTTGAATTTCTGACTGCCAACAAGGAACGCAATTTTGTTAAATCACATGGGCGAGAGGTCCAGAGATTTATTCAGAAACAAGGATTGGACAAAACATTTGTTGAATGTGATGCTCATATGTGGAGAATAGGAGACCGCCACTTGCCATGGGGTATTCAAGTGGACGGTGGGAGTGATTGGGTGGCCTTGTCGAGGCCCTTTGCCTCGTACGTGGCCAATACTGTAGATCAGTTACTGCAAGGACTGAAGGTTGTTTTTAAACATACTCTTCTGCCTGCTGAGGTAACTATATATTATTGAAATAGTTTGTAAGTTTTCAGTATATACTGTATTAATTATTATGTTATTGATATACTTTGTATTTAATCATTTCTTAGCTCTTTTGATTTTATCATTATTATGATAAGGATACCGATAAAGCGGCCGTCTCAGGGGTGATGCGTACGTTTTGTGTTGCCTCTATGTTGAATCTTGAGAAAAATTGTAAGAGAAAGAAAAAAATCATCCTTTTATTACTAAATGTCATTAAACTCATTACATTAACAAAGTACATGAATATAGTATCCAAAAAGAAAACTCTGAAAACATACATTCAGATTTACATCGTACTTTTACTTATATTTTGGCATGTTGACCTCCAGAACATAAGTGGAATGAATCAGAAAACCATGAATTTAGAGATTCAACGTCAACACAAACCAAGGAAAGTTAATTAATTCCGAAAATAAAGACTATTTGGGATTATTAAGTTTGTAGAACTTCAAAATAATGTCAAATGAAAAATATTTTTATCTAATATAATTCATAATTTGGTAAAGGAAATTCTGCAGTGGTTTTCATGTAAAACTTCTTCAGCTTTCAATGGAGTGTTTTGTCATGATACCAAGTGACTGCTGATTCTTTTAATTTATCTATTTAACTGTCACTCCCACAAATCATGTCCAAGGAAATCCAGATTTAACAAAGCAACAATAAAATGTTCAACAATAGTTGGGAAGTAGTACAATGCCATTAGTAGTAATACCGTCTATGTAATGACAATCAAACGGTGCGCTGTTTCATCCTTGATCACATAAGTTACCTAATTTACTTGTGTCAGATATCCGAAAGTTGTATTCTGAGAATTATTCGAAGTAAATAATTTAGAGTGATATTTACTATTTCCTGTGGTGCCAATATCACAAAAAATTCTAGCGTGTTGGCGTAGAGAAACAGTGTTCTGGACGTCATTCAAATTAATTGTATGTAGATTACCTAAATGAAATATTTGAAATTCTATTATATTCTCATTTTTACGATCGATCTTTAGTTACATTATTATATCCCTTTAACTGTAATCGATACTGAAGCATTCCATCACTTCCGAACGTCCTCGGTGTTTTATGAGATTCAATGTCATGAAAACGTGGCACGCAGCACCTTGTCCTGCAGCGTCGATCACGGACCCAGAGAGAACCCTCCGCTGGCGCCTGGATCGCCCGGCTGCAAAGGTGGCGGTGGCGTGGCTACGCTGACGTGGCCCCACAGACTTGTACGCCGGCTCACAAACGTACATTCGTGTCACAGGAGGGGCTCCCAGACATTCCGTTAACACTGAGTGCTTTCGGCGTACCTCCTATCTGGCCCCGTGGTCACCTCACTCGTAAACCCTCTGCCTCTGCCCACCCCAACCCCGGGTCTACCCTACAGGTCTGTGATTTGCCCGGTCCGCGCTCGCTCGCCCCTCTGTCTCTGGAGTGCATGCGCGCGGCCGTCGTGGGCAGCCGGTTGTAAGCTCCCGGCCGCCAGTGCCCGGCCGAGACCGCCCGGCCGAGACCGCCGAGCGCTCGGTCGGTTGCCGAGAACCGTCCAATTTCAATCCGGCGCCTCGCAACACTCAAAGTGTAAATGTCGTATGGAAAAGGAAGGAGTATTGATTGGTTTTTAAAATAACGACCAAAAATTTCCATTTTACAAGTTTTATTTATAAACGAAGTATATATAGTATGTTCAAAATTATTTACAACTCCAAAATTCGACTCCCCGACGCACCGAAGAACTTGAAGTGGTACTACTGAAGTTCTACCTAGGAATTAAAACAAAAATTATTCACGTGCTTCAGGTGATTTTTGTTTTTTTTCTAATGACCAGACATCGGATTTTCAGAGAACAAAAATAATTGGCTTCAATTCCGCACTAAAATTTCCGTCCGGCTTGTGTGAAGCCGTAAACACAATAAAGCTCTATGTTCAACCTCAAATCCAGCTTTCACTTGTAAGTTCTCGCCATTCTTACATAAGAGATTTAAGTGTCTCATCAATAGTGCAGCCAACCTATGAGTTAAAAATTACAACTACAAACTTTTTTCGATTTTTAGCCAAGTTTTAGGCATTTAGATTTTAGGACGAGGTCTTGTTCTGAACTCCAGGGTGAATGGAGGGACCCACGCTGTGTCATCACCCACTATATCTCTGTAGTAACGCTGGCACTGCGATGGAGTGTCCCCTTGTTGGGCTTCGTGGCGGGTGAGGACCACGGGGATGAATCATATAATCATATCCATGGATAATAAACCTTCTCCCCCGCCCTCTTCCGCAGCGAAGATGAGATATCCGGGACGAACTAATGATTGAAATAGCTCTTTTGCAAATGATGACCGACAGAAAAAGCCTTGTTTCCTCCTCATGGCATGCGCCGAGGAAGAATAAACGTTTAAAAACGTAAGTGCTGTCCTTCTGGCACGAGCCATAGAGGAAACATACGGTAAGCTCTCAGCGGTCGTGCGACAGAGAAATGGAACGATTCTCCTTGAAGCACGTACCGACGAGCAGATAGAGACATTAAAAACCAAGCAGATTGTCTTCCTCTAGGTGGTAGTGACGACGCACCCAACTTTGAACCTGTGAAGAGGCATAGTGAACCACGCAGACATTACTTCCGGAAATGAAAAAGGAACTAATAACATTTTTCAAGAGTCAGGGCGTGACTGAAGTCTACAGGATATACCCAGAAACGACGTATGTCGATAATCGTAATGTGTGGGAAGTGCGATACATCAGTATACGATCCACATCTCTGCGCTACACTACCGCACTCTATCAATTGTGAAGGTGGCCATCCAGGCAACTACGACCAGTGCCTTACCTTTCTCCGAGAAAGAGAAATTCAGAAGATAAGAGTCACCGAAAAGGTTTCCTTCCCCGAGGTCAAACGCCGGCTTCTTCTTTGGTCCTATCTTCCATATAGGAAGTTAGGTTACCCATAACGGGTTTTCTTTGGATAAATTATTCAGGGTGGTTTATCGTTGCCTTCCCTGATATGATGATGATAGGGGGTGAAAGGACGAACACAATACAATCATGCCCGAGGCGGGACTCGAAACCGCGATCTTTCGGTATGAGATCGCTACGGCACTACTGCCTTAGCGATCTCGGCCACCGGATCGGCCAAACGCCGGCACCAGGCTAGAAATCCAGCAGACCTGTCACGATCCTTGTCCAGGACTTTAAAGATCAAGACCTCAGGGGTAAAGCAAGTTGTCAGTTGCCCCTGCTCTAGTAGTGCACTTCAGTCATCAGGTATTGCCTATAAACGTCCTTGAAGATACGGCGTGCATCCAAGTAAAAAGGTAATATTACCAACAAAGTTTAAAAAAGACTGAGTAAAAACTCCACCAGTCACAGATCCTTCTACTGAATCCCTTAAGGAAATAGATTCCATATCGCTTCTGAACAAAAAGTTTTTATCTGAGTCCCGTCCTCCTACTACATTCGAGACTCGCATTGAGCTATCCTCGAGCCCATGTAGATTTCGGTCGCCTGCCGCAAAAAAAACAAACAAACGGGAATCCTCCCAACACCGGCGACCATCTCCAGCAGCAGTCAGGATGACTACAGTTGACGAGAAGTGCCACGAGAGTTCCTCTACAACTTTTCAGAAGGTGAGAAAGAGAAACACAGCCAAAGAAGTAATTCCCTACAATGGCTCTCTCGTGGAATTTAAACAGCTTTTGTTCACATTCAGAAGAATTGAGATTGATAATTTCTCGCCATAGACCACCTATAGTCTGCCTTCAAGAAACTCTTCTTCCCCATCATCCCCATCGTTCGAACCGACTATCAAACTGTAGCCGTTCGGATACACCTACCGTCATTTCGCTAACGGTGTGCAATATGTACATTCCTCCTGCCCAAGTCGTCACAACAAAAACTTAATGTCTTTTCTCAGTTGTCTCCACTTTTCTTATTTGGGGTCTTTAATACCCACATTCCCGCCTGGGATGGCACGAGAACCTGCTCGAGAGGCAATATACTTGAAAATATTGACAACTAGAACAACACAACAACCGACATAGCTTCTTACGAGAGAGTGACCTTTTCAGCATTATCTGAGGGAAGAGGATTATGCCAATTATTTGGCTTTTAATTGGAGACTTTAAAGTGTTTATCAGGCTCTTTTCTGTCAACCCCCTTTTTTAAATAATTGAAAGTTTATTTTCAGTTTTACTCACATTTTACTTTGCATTAAAAATGTTTTGTGTGGCACCGCTATAGTGCGTATTACTCTTAAAATAATTTGACATAGGCGCCAATGGCATTAGCTGTTGATGCGCCGTTAAACTTAAACCAGTATCATCATCACGGCTTCCACTGACCGATTCACACCTTCTGCATGTAATTGTCGTCGGGGTCGTGTTCCCGTGGCTTTTCGCAAGTGAATGGTGGTCTGCCATCAATCATGGAATCTAATAACATGTTTATCGGTCGCCCTAACAACGTGAAACAACTTGGCTCTCCCTACCCTGCCCAGCCCCTCCCCTCTCGATCAGCGCCGCCCCGGCTCGCCCTGTCCTGCTAAATGTTTGCTGTGATCACCGTTGCTCCGGCCATCTGTAAACGCCTGCATTGTTGCATACTCTGTTACTTCCCGTAACGATTTTGTTCTTTATTTACTCAAACTTATGTTTGGTAAATGAAAGTTATTTTTTTAACAATCCTTTATTTCGATCTTCGTTCATTCGAAAAACTCAACACCAAACATCTTTCCGGAACCATAATGATTTAGCGGCACGACTCGTCCCTCGTCTTGCTTGGCCGCCAGCGAGCAGACGCCCTCCGTTGTAGAACTCCTTCGCCCGGCCCTCACCGTCGGCCGCCGTTCCAAGTGCCACGCCCCAGTTGGGCCGTTTCCATTGTGGGTGGGTGGCTGTCCCGCACCCACGTAGTGGTCGCCTCGGAGCCCCTTCCGGCTCGGTTCGTGCGTTCGCTTAGGCTCAACGCTCATGCAGGCTCGCGTCGCCTCTCTCCGGGCGATCCCGCAGCCTCCTCCTAGGCCTCCCGACTCTGGCCTCTGGTCTCTGGGCGCTCAAAAAGCGCTCTCGTAGCCCTCTCGCTACGAGACTCGTACACTCCTGACTGTAGACTCCTTGGCGGTGGCCTGTTTACTGGGGACTGCGCTTGCGGGCCCGAATGTATACCCAGGCGCCGCCTCTGGCGAAGGCTCGCTCTCCACCTCAGCTTAGGAGAAGCCTGATTACCTCGCGCCGCTGACTCTAGCGGTGCTGTAGAGAGCGCGCGCTTCCAGGTCACTTGCCCTCCAATTTAAAGTGGTGTGCAACCATAACACAAACCTAATAGCGTTTTGGAAATAAACTGCACCTAGAAGAAAATTTAATTAGAGATATTTAAATCTTTTTTTGGATTTCATCCCCTTTTTCTAAATATTTGTGAAAACTGAAACAGTGGACACGTAAATTTTGTTTTAAGGAGTAAGAAAAGGGAAATAGGCGTAGTTATTATAATCTCTCATGTAGACAATATTGCCTCTTGTTTTAATGGTGAATACCACGAAATTTTATTGTATAAGAATAAAACTAGATTTGTACAAAAAATATTTATATGCAGTAGAAATAATGATTGAAAAGGTTTTTATTAATTAAATTGTGTCCGACAAAATACTCTAATGAAAGTTCGTCAGTCATTAGCTCCAACAAACGGACCAAAATTATAAATGTGTGTATTCACCTAAATATCCATGTGAAGATATAAAAGGACAGATAATAAAAAAAAATTTCTTTCGTTTTTTCGTTTAATAAGTAATATGAGCTTGTCAATATGTCATAAGTTTGTTTTCATTAAAACCTGTGGACTTTAGAAACGTGCACGTTCGAATTGCACGCGCTTCTTTGGTGTAGAGATGGTTTCAAAACTATCAGAAGAGATAAAGTAGTAGTATTTTACTATTGTAGCACCACACTATCGTGTCTCTGTATTACCTGATTTCCCCAGTCTCATCTCTTTTCTGCCATTGACTTCGACTTGCTCTTAATTTCCTCTCTCATCACGTCACCATCTTCCTCCACTTACCTACCTAATTTTCTTCTCGTGGACATTGTCATCACTAGACATCGGATGTTAAGGTACTAAAAACATAGGTTTTTGTCGCCTAAAAAGGCACTAACATTTTTTACATATGTTCCGTAAAAGGCATTAAAAACTGAAAATTGGAGGGAAAAAATAGGATTATATTTCACTGCACTTATATCTAAAATTAGTTACTACCATAAAACAATATGACATGAGAGAATAGATGATTAATGAATGATTAGTGAGTGAGAGACTTTGGCATCTTTACGGGATTGAGCTCGGTTACTTTACTTAGAGGCAATGATGAAGTACTTCGCGTGGAACACAGCTCAGGCAACTGCAGGCAGAATGAAGACGCTCCTCACGCTTGGCAGAGATGGACGTATACTGCGCACTTCCCAGAAGAACATCTAGCACGGAAAGATATCAATGTCGGGAGTTGGGCGTGTCCTCAAAAGACACGAGTGCTTTGAATACGACGCGAATCGGTGCTCAGCGCTCACGTAAGCGCCCACCGCTCAACCAAGTGCCTAGAGACCACTTTTTTTTATTTGAGCAAAGATATGCGAAAAATGAAATCTGAAGTCACAATGCAAGCTTTTCTGTTCCAAAACTTCAATGACCTGCAAACCCAAATGACAGGTTCAGTTGGGACAAACAATGGAGATTTCTTTACCAATTGAAAATGTACGTGATTAGTAGAACTTAAAATGATTTAAACTTGTGTTTGAAAACAAGGACAAAAAGAAATACGTATATAAATTTTAAGAAAAAGCATTTAAAAAGTAATATATTCTAAAAAGTCATTTATGTCACAAAATACCAAAAAAGGCAAAATGAAAATTTATCAGAATATTTGGTTTTCCATAATTCATATACTTGCATCAATTGCCTTTAAATATGTTCATTAGAATAAAATAGGCATTTTCCTAAACATCCGATGTCAGGTCATCACTTTTTATTCCTATGATTTGTCAGCCCTCCAGAGTTATCCCTAAATTGGTAATTTGAGGAATGAATTATAGTTATTTTAGCAATAATTGTGTTGAGTTTTTGCTTGAATATACCAGATATTTATAAGAATATTTAAATTTTCTATTATATTTTGCCAACTATTTTAATATATAATGATAAATTTTTCTAATGTTCTTTGATTTTTTACATGTGCCAGACATTCTTCCACACAGTATTAAGAAATTCGAAGTTCTGCAACACTTATGTGGATAACAATTTACATGTTACCAATTGGAAACGACGCCTGGGATGTAAATGTCAGTATAAACACGTCGTAGATTGGTGCGGCTGTAGTCCAAATGATTTCAAACCTGATGATTGGCCACGACTGCAGGTATTGATATTTCTTTTTTCTTTTGTGTTTTTGATGAAAATATTACTCAGAAAATTTTCATATCATACATTTTTCTTAATAATCGTTAATTATATTTACGTATGAATTCTGAATATCTCTGTGCGAGATGCTGACAAATGTGAAGCATAGGCGCTTTAAATACCGTTGTTTTAATAGTTGTATGTCAAATGTCATATTTATGTATTGTATTTAACGACAAAAAAGGTTCACAAAATAGACGAAGTATGTGAGAGAAGTACAGTTTTTGCACGTTTTCTTGAGGTACTGAGTCTTTACTCCTACTCATTTACTTCACTTTTTTCAATTATGAATACAATAGCAACGAGCATTTTGGCAACATTTAATAACGAGAAATATTCACTCCCGTGTAATAAAGTGATTTATTAATTTCCGGGCACGTTAACTGCTATTGTCATTAGTCCTCTCAGTGTAGTGTATGAGTTTTCGGTAATTCCTTCCCCGCCGGATGGTGAGATTCGGCGCCGACCTACAAGTCGGTCTACGAGGATTTTCCTCTCCTGATGTTTTCCCCCACTTCCCCAGCCACGACAAACTCTAATCTCCCGTCATGTGTGGTAGTGTGTAGAGCATGTATGTATATGAAAGTGTGAATGTATACGGAGAGAGTATGACAAGAAAGAGGAAAAGATCTTGCATGGTCCATGGCCCGTTTGTTAGGGTACTGCGGCATTTGCCTTGTGTAATCGAAGAAACCGCGGAAAATTACCAATCAGAGCACCCGACCACTAGAAGATAGCATTCAAATAGTTGCTGAAATCGCCCCAGCTGTTGCCGAAAATCTACCACCTTCGGGGACTGAACCCTAGGTCCTCCCAGTCTGCCGTGTAATAGAATCTGTTTGCTTCTTTGGCCGAGCTACGGATTTTATTTGATAGTGCTGCTGACGAAATGTAACTCTATCGCCACACAGAGAAGAATACTTGTTAAAAAAATATTTGGTATTTTCGATTTATCCAGTACAACTTGTGTATTACTTAGTATATCCATAGTAGTATAGTATACAGTACAACTTGTATACTGAACTACAGAAATATTGGATATAAAATAAATGTTTTCTTTGGATAATCAATATAGTATCTAATTATATAGAAACGATTATGTAATAGAAATGCTTTTACTAGGAATTTAAACTTGTCGCTTATAATTGTTTAATGTCATCTGGTAGTGTGTTGTACGTACGTACGTAAATATCTAGTATACAATAATGTAAATGCATTATTCGTAAATTTATTGTAGTAGATGATGATACTGGCAACTGAAGAAATATGATTTCTACTTTGTGATTATAGATATTTGGTGCATGAAAATCTGTTCCCACCCATGAGCATTTGAAAAAAATGACTAATTTGTAAATAAATAGGCTAGGCAATGACAAGATTCCAAGCTCTGTGAAGGGACGCTTGCAGGAATCACGTGAATGGCATTTGTTTATTATTCGAACATATTTGTCTGCATCTAATAGTGGGTACTACATGATGTGCTTCCCTAGAATATTACACCGTATCTCAGACGGTATTCGCCAAATACAGCAAACGAACTACGTGAAGGATGATTAAATTTGAAAACATTCTGAATGCGTACCATAAGGAACTTAAATTAGTGATTGGTTCATTTACTCGGGTATTCCATTTCAGATTTGACAGAATTGAGAGACCCGGAATGTTGTTACCTTAACATCAGCCAATTGCATATCTTTCATTTTCATTGGTGCATGCCATTACGAATTTGAAATGTAAAACTTCAAAACATTTTCGCTTTATTTACTATTAACTTATTACACAACCAGTTAGACACATCTGCAAACGCACTGCTTACTGTTGCTTGCAAAGAATATAATTTGTGAAGTGAACTGTTCTTCGGTGTCCTATAGACGGGGACAAATCGTTTTCATAAAGAAAGAACAGGAAATGGCAGAATATCGAAAATTGTGGTATCCCATGTCTAATCGGCTAAGATTGTTAAATATATATTAATTTCCCTTCATTGCAGTAAGGTATTTCTACTCTTTGCAATTTATATCGATATGAAAATTTCTAATCGGAGCAGAGGGTAGAGTATCAAATTCCATTCTCTTGATTAATGGCTTGGGCTCGTCAAATTTCTACATTAATAAAATTTCACTCGAAGGTAACTTTAAAAGTTTCTTCTTTCCTTCGAAACGAAAATTTGACTTTTTCCAAAGATTTATTTTCTTAACCCATGTTGGCAAACTGAAAGTGCTCCATATTTCGTAAAAAAATTCCGCTAGTATATTAAAATTTTGAAATAGTAACTGGCAAGACGGGAATTTAGTTCATTTCTTCGTCTTTTAAATTAAATTTCGAATTAAAATAGATTTCGCAGGGATATAACAATTTTTCACAATGGCTTAGAACGTGGGTCAAAATGTACTATTTTTAACTCTTCACATTTTTCTCCAACATCAATAAGCTGATTGAAATTGTAGTAGTAGTGTTCCATTTGAACGATGATGTTATGTTCGCGTTCATGTACGAATACAAACATACCCTTAACTCTTTTAGACCGAGGACGGACTTCGTTTCTTTTATTGGAGAGGAAAAATTTGAGCGCTATTATACACACGAAAATATTCGTTTGTATTAAGGCTCTAAGTAAATTATGCTGCAATTATGTAAACTGTTTTCTATTTTTTAATTATTTAAATGATTGTTATTGAATGTATTAATTAGATTACTTCAACAGAGAGGTGACGATCCTCGTTTTTTGAACGGTTCGAACTGTAAAATCAGTGATGCATTTTTCTCTGTGAATCATATGTAGATGTATCAAAAACACTTTTTTTAAATTTATTATGATAAAAAATTATACAATTGATACAATACAGTGATCAATACATTTCAGTATGTCCTACAAATGTAGAATACATATTTTGAAGTTACATTAATAAATTCTTTTAATTAAAATGCAATCTTCTGCTTTTGGCAAGATCTAAAATGTTTATAGTTTTATTTACTATAATAGGTAATAATAAGAGCCCCCACTTTTATTTCGACTTTAAAAAACTGAATTAAATGCTTTTTAGAAAACAAATATGATAACTTCATCTTCAACATTTGTGTAAACTTTATAAAAAAATATGAACTTAATTAACTGTTCAGAAAGTGGGTAAAAATTAATAATAATAATAATAATAAATAATAATAATAATAATAATAATAATAATAATAATAATAATAATAATAATAATAATAAATGAAAAAGTTGAAAAACGAGTGGTACTACAGAATGACACAGACTTTCTCATATTAGTTTTTTTTTATTTTCTTTGGTCTGGGCTAGCTTTTCGGCTAGTACATTTTTTAATTCGTTTCTCAATTTTTCGGTTTCCTTGTAGTAGAAGCGAAATGTTTTAAAAAATGAAATTTTTGAAAAATAAAAAGAATACCCCAAAATCGACTGTATGTGATATAATCAGCACATCCGGCACTATCCTTAAAAAAAAGCTTGGAGCTTTTCGAAAACTCAAAGGATTTTTGTGAAAAAGAGCTTTAAATTTCGCATTTTCAGCAACTCATTAAACGCCATTTTCTTAAAAGCAGCTCCAATTTTTCAACAAAAAATTGCCTAATGTGACGAGGTTTTTACTCTTCTTCAATATTCTTATAGTAATGTTTCGGTTAAATTGAGAATTAGTTTAAAAAAATGTACTTTGGGCTGCGATAGATGGTTAGCAGGCAAGAGGATGGGACAAAAATGTAAGTTTGCCCAGACCAACGAAATTAGAAAACTAACTAATACGACAGTCTGTGCCATTCTGTAGCACCACTAGTTTTTTTCTCGTATACGTGTGAATATACGGAGTATAAATAGTGTTAAGTAATCCTGCAGTAAATTGATTTCGAGATTTCAACAGTAATACACATTTTGGGGTCCCCTGATACCGAAAGTTTTTATTTATTTACTTATGTATTTATTTATTTTTCAGTACGGCTGTCTGTTGTATGTAAACAACACTAGCTATTTCTAAACGTCGATTTGGCCTGAGTCGAAGCTCTGCAATTTTGAAAAACTTTCATTAATTTTTTGAGGGTTCTTTACATGAAGATCTCTGAACTTTTTCAATTTTGTCTAAAAAATGGCCCCAAATTTTTTAATTTAATTTTCTTGTAAAAAGGATGTGAAATACATTTATAAATGTAGCATAGGTCCGATTTTTACTGATTACTGAATTTTTAAAAATTGCAAGTGATTGACATTTTTCGGCGTCTTCCTACAATTACAAAATTGAAGTTAGAGATTTTTCTTTCAAGTAAAGTTTTCCTACTTAATTAGTTCATTCGGTTAAGTCAGGTACATTTTTTAAACATTTTATTAGTCTAATGCGTCCATGCAATATTAAAAAAATCAAAAACAAAATTTTATCGAAACCCGTATTTTTTTTCTATTTTCTATAGGCTCCATATTTTTTCTCTAAAATTTTGGAATGTATAGTATTAAATGTATTCTATAAGATGACAAACTCTATTTTGCTCTGTTCTTTTGTTGTTGTTTTTTTTTTCAAAATATTACACCAATGTATATTATTGATTTGTCTCTCACGTTAATATATACATTAGGGGCGATTTGTTCTTTTTTTGCATTCATGAGCAGATGCGCTTTAAATGATGAATATAAAGTTTCTCGAAAACTCAATTTTTTTGTGAAAAATGAGCTAAACTTTCTGCATTTTCAGAAACACTCGAACACAATTTTCTTAAAAACGTCTCGAAGTTTTTTTTCTTCAAACTTTTAGTACAGATAATGCTAATTGCACTGTTTGTGATGACAAAATTAATTTTGCTGAATTCTTTTGTTTCTTTAAAAATTACACAAGTATATTTTTGAAATATCTCTTACGATGTTAATATGCACATTTCCAGCGATTTGTGTTCATTACTGCATTTCTGAATGGCAGTGCTTTAGATAACTTCCAATAAAGTTTTTCGAAATCTCAGTAGTTATCTGTGAAAATGAGCTTCAAATTTCGCATTTACTGTAACGCTTAAACGCCATTTTCGTAAAAATGGCACCAATGTTTTCAACGAAAATTTTCATATATGATG